GCATTGCCCTTCGATGCTTCGGTTTTTGATGATTCGGTTCCAACGGTGCAGCCCATGTAGCCTTGCCCACGCAACCGCTGGCCGCGCCAAAGAAGGTGTGGGACTGTCATCAATAAACAAATGACTAAAACATATATATATATATATATATATATACGTATATGTATTTTTGCTATTTATATGCGTTGCACACTATTGAAGCAACGCTCAGGTTACCGGTTACCCTTGTAGAGGCTGTATCCCGAACCCCACCTACAGCCTTGCTAGGACCCTGTAGGGTGTGTAGAGAACCTTTTGGCCTGAGGCTCATGTCCCCTGTGAGATCCACATCTGCAAAGCACAGCATGTTGAGAGCCTGCGCTTGTTGAGCTTTTGAGATTTAGGTTTCAGTGTGTAGGGTTCAGGGTTTAGGGTTAAAGGCTCAGGGTTTTAGGGTTCAAGGTTGTTGATTGTGTCGCGCAATGGATGGTCTAGCGCGGCTTAAAAACTAGCCTGGTTCTGAGTTCTCAAGCGGCGAAACAATTTCTCTATCGTCCGACTTGAAAGGAGTCCAACATGTAAAGCCATGTTTAGGATTTTAGGGCTTTTAGGGTTTAGGCTTAGGCATAATAGGTTTTAGGGTGGATGGCTCGTGGTTCGGTGTCTTAGAGGTTCGGCGATGCGCAGGATTTCGTGCCCGTGGGTTCCTGGCTTTGGAGGTTCCGTAAACCCTACGCCGCAAACTTGGCTTCCCGCTCTGATTTGGGTTTTCCGGACCTATAGGGCGCAGGAGTTGTTGCAAAGACGCAACAGCCTTTACGACTCCTATGAGCGTTTTCTGGGTGGTTCTACTTAGGCCAGTTGTGGGGTCTTAGTTAAGTTTCAGTGGTTTCAGAGAACTGCGGTTCCTGACTGTTTAGGGCCTGTGTGTGGGACTCTGGTGTTCCGAAGCTTCGCCTTTATCAATACCTGAAGCCCCGAAATATCGAGGTCAGCCATCAGTCAATCATAGTTATCCCGGGTGACAGTCCTCGTAAACCCTAAACCCTTACTGCTGATGATATGAATCCTGCAATACCTTAAGGACCCTAAGCTGTGGGAAGTAAGGTCTATTCCTTATTTCGGGCCATGCAGGATTTATATCATCAACCATAGTATATATGGCATAACCCAGAGGGGCCAGATGCACTACCATTATGGAATTACGTCCCCAAAGACCATCCCTATTATGGCTTTGGGAGCCGAATTCAAAGCTAGTAGTATATTTGGACCCTCTTGGTACTATACCCACAAACTCAGCAGCTTCCTTAGGGGCCCTAAGGCTCCATGTGCCCATATAGCACATATACTTGAACCCTAAAGGGCCTATATAGGAACCCCTTCAGGGCCTAAGTATATGCTATATGGAGAAAAAGGGGCCTTTGGGCTCTTTAGTGAGTTCGAAGCCCGGATCTGAAGCGAACAGCCGCAGGTCTTAAAGGTTTGTAGAGTTTAGGGTTTAGGGCTTAGGGTTTGGGGGTTTAGGGGTGCAGGGTTCAGGTTTCGGGGTTAGGCTCAGGGTTGAGGATTAGGGTCTAGTTTTAGGATTTAGGCTTATAGGGTTCAGGATTGAGGGTCCTAAACCTCCAACACCTTCTTCATGCTTTGAGTATTAATTCCTATACCGGTATGGATTGTGTTTCGAGGTTTGTATTATTGACTTGTTTCCAGACAGGCCTACAGCCAGCCATACGTTAATATGGCCCCACTATATACGTATGCATGTACGTACCTACGTACGTACGTACGTACGTATGTATGTATGTATGTATGTATGTATGTATGTATGCATGCATGCATGCATGCATGTGTGTATGTACGAATGTCGATGTTGTGTGTATCTATACATAATGTAAATATGTTGTCTTTTCGTTTTCGCACACTACAAGTACGAATGAGTGTCCCAACGTCAGATCATGAAGATACTTCAACTTACTTTCTTGGGCTTTGGTGTTCAAATTTCGGCAGTGAGGTCTTAGAGCGTAGGGCCTCTGCGGTCATCTTTGTTAGATTTTGTGATGCGCTTGGGGTTTGTGAAGGCCTAAGTTGTTTAAGGTTTGCAGCCTGGGCTGTATTTACCCTAACCCTCCAGGTACCTACCATAAAGGGCCCTAGGGGGCTCTAGTACCCTCTATAGTAGGTACCTGGAGGGTTAGGGTTTCGGTTACTAAACCCTAAACCCTAAACCCTCTATAGTAGGTACCTGGAGGGTTAGGGTTAAGGTATGAATTAGGATTGTGGAATGGTGGGTGTTGTCAGAGTGACTCCAGGGCTGCACCGTAAGCCTGACCCCGCATCCCGAACCCTAAATCCAAACTGCACATCCCAAACGGCCCTAGGTACTGTTACAGGGGAGGTTTTAGGGTCCAGGTTTGTGGTACTTTCCCAAATCATGATAAGATTCCTAATACAGAAACCCTGCATTCTACCATATAGGTACTTTGGACCATTTGGGTATCAACACGTCCGCCTGCTGCCATAGCAAACCCGTACAGCAGGCGCGGATCGCAATGCCGTAGGCGACGGCATCCTGGAATGAACCAAGCCGAAACTACAGCCGGAAAGACAAATAAACACGTTCCCCAAAGTCTCCCCGAACCCTCAACCCTAATGTAATCATTAGAATTAGAATAGGGTTTTGGGGGCTCCTCATTATAATTATGATATAATATACCCCCCAAACCCTATTCTAATTGATAAGGCCCCTATATCAGACACCCTTGCCTGATCCCTGACTCTAAACTTCAACTGCAGCACCCTAGCTCCAAGCCCTAAACTTGCAACTTTTGTGTACACCAGCAGGACTGGATCTACGGTTTAGGATTATCGGGTTTAGGGCTTCGGGTCTAGATTCCATGATCGCGAGGTCTACATCCGGCGGAAAACAAACCAAAAGCAAACCCTAAACCCTAAACCCTAAACCCGCAGAAACGTCGGCGAACGGATCGAACCCCTTGGCCCCAGGGCCCAAGAACTGCATGTTTATCATTCTCTTGTACCTGAAGATTAACATTTAAGCCCTAAAGTCCAAAACCTAATTAATGTCTTCAAGCAACGTGAAGCTCCGAAACCCACGAGGTAGACATCTGAGGGGTTTAGGGCTGAGGGCTTTGGGTTGCGCACCCTCTCGATTTCAGCCTCGCGTCACCCAGGCATCGTTGCTTTCGAGCTTCCGCCATCAATGCCAAGACAGCTTGCCTGAGAGACGCAGAAAATATAGGGATCTTCTTGATAACTAGAATAAGGTTCCTTGAAGGGTTCTTTCAAAAGGGGTACTATAAGGGGTACTTATAGGGGTTTAATGTAGGGGACTTCATCATTAGAACACGGTTTTTCGGGGGGTTCCCTGTTCTACTTATCGTATACTCTACCCCCAAGCCCTATTCTAGTTATTGAGGCCCCCAAAGCTAATCCTTGAGTTGCCGTGAGAAGAGCCTAGGATTCGGGAAGGAGATCCGTTACCCTAAGGGTCCATGTGCCCGAATACTATATACTTTGGCCTTAGTAGTCCCTATATAGGTACTTCGGGGCCAAAGTATATACTATTTGGGCACATGGACCCTTAGGGTAGGGGGTCCTTTTTAGAATGGTGTCATACTATTTGGGGACCTAGAAAGGAAGCCAAAGTATGTACTGTTTGGGTACATGGACCCTGTAGGGTTAACCAGGCCACCAACGCCCAGAGCTGTCGCACGCGCTCATCGCACAACTCCTCCACAAGGCGCAGATGCGGAGTGCGGGCTCTCCAAACGAAATGACGATCGCTGGGGTTTGTTGATTTAACGGCTAATTCCTAGGCTTGGGGCTTGGGTTTGGAGTTTAGGGTTGAAGGATCCAGGACTTAGGTGTAGGGTGACGCAACAAGTAAACTCTTTCTATGCATATCTTTCTAAAACATCAACATGACAGCCGTAAGGGCAACTTAAAGGCCCTACTGCTAGAAAAGGTGGTTTAGGGTTTAGGGTTTACGGTATATCAACAGGAACCAGATATGATAGTAAACGGCTTAGGACGGTATACCAGACGATGGGGAGAGGACCCTAAACCCTAAACCCTAAACCCTAAAGCATTCGGATGAGCGAAGGCGCGGACAAAGGAGATTCACCGAGCCGGCTGCAGCTAGGACTTCGGGCTTTTGTCTTACGCTTCGGGTCCATGTACCCAAATAGTAAGGTTTTAGGTCCCAAAATCCATACTCTGAGTGGCTTTTGGACCTTGAAACCCTACTATTTGAGTACTTGGACCCTTAGGGTTATACTTCATTACCTACAACATGCACTGGGGTTCTTTTTATGTAGGTAAGGTATGTTACAAAAAGCCTATTCCAGTGATTCAGGCCCTAGCCCAAAGGCTTAGGGAATTCGGTAAATCGAAGAGGCGCCTTAATAATTTAGAATATAGGGTTTGGGGGTAGATTATAGTAATAAGGAACCCCCAAAATAGTATAGGTAAGTATTTAGGCTCCTACTTTACCGCCACGACCGCTGATAAGCGTGGGAACACCGCCGCAACCGCCTGCTGTTCTATATATGTTTTGTAACTGAAACACCAATCATATAAAAGTAGGCACGCAGAGAAACCCTGAATGCTTCACTAGCATCTCCAGCCCTGAACCCAGCACTGCACGCTGCTTCAAGATAACCCCTCAAACCTCAATCCTAAACTCCAGAAGCCCTGCAATCCTAAAGGCCTTACATCATCCCACATCCCATCAGCGAGTGATCTCTCCGCAGTCCCTTCCAAGAGACTCCGAAAAGCCAGGGTTTAAGGTTGGAGGCTATTTTCAGTGGAGAAAGTGCATGTTTAGGGTTTCGGGTATTGAGTCTCTGATGCCCGAGGGTCCTACACCCCAAACCCCGTGTCCAGCAGAGCTCGTCGATTTGCATGCGCAGTGCATGCCTGGGTTCTTGTATAGGAAGTAACACTTTGATGAGTTGCCATAGTCGGGATATTTGGGAAAGCCTTATAGATATGTACACATCTTATCCGTCTCTATCTCTCTACATATACATGTATGACCGTATGTATGTCTGTAATCTGTGACAGTCTGTCGGTCCGTCTGTCTGTCTGTATGTCTGCAAGTGTGTATGTATGTATGTATGTATGTATGTATGTGCCACAAGTATAGTAGGGTACCTTAGACCCTAAACCCTCATCTAGCTCTTCTCCAAAAAAGCTCAAAGCTTGGGGGTCACGATGAGGGGGACCCTTGGGGATAGAGACCCCCTCAATAAGGTCCCTTTCTTCGGGAGCCAGAAGTAGGGTCCCTTCAGGGGGTCTCCCTGGTACTACCTACTTGGAGGATCATGGGACTTAGTAACTAAACAAAAGGTAACTATACTTATAACCCCAATTAGGGTACTTATAACCCTACTTACTAAGTCCCATGATCCTCCAAGTAGGATAACTGACTAAAGAAGATCCCAGAGACATGGAGGCGAGGCTTTGGATCCCAAGCTCCCACTTGCCTGTCCTGCCGGGGGGTTTTGGGGTTTGGGGTTTTAGGGGGTTAAGGGTTTAAGGCTTTAAGGGCTTAGGGTTTAGAGCGTGGGGATGAGGGCCTAAGGCGCATTTTGTTAGGGAGAGAGTTAACCCTAAACCCCTAAACCCCTAAACCCCCTGAACCCTCAACCCCTAAACCCTAAACCCCTAAACCCAAAACTCCAAAATGAGGGTCCTAACTCTTTAAGGCTTGGGGTTCAAGGGTGCCAAAAAACCCAAAACCCCCTAAAGCCTAAACCCCTCAACCATAAACCCTAAAGGGTAGGGTTCGCAGGTCCTCACCCTGGTTTAAGGGCAAGGCTAGGAATCCTGGCACTATAAACACCTCCTCGTAAAGCCTTGAACTTCCCCTAAACCCTAAACCCCTAAACCCTAAACCCTAAACCCCTAAACCCCTAAACGCTAAACCCTAAACTTCCTGGGTCCTCTCGCAAGCCGCCATGGCGGCACTGAGGCCAATGAGATCCGGAACCAGGGCGTTGGCCCTGCGTCCCACGGGCTTCCCCGTGGGATTTTGGGCTTCAGGGCTTACAAGAGGGGTTTAGGGTCTAGGGTGTTTTAGGGTTTAGGGTAGAAGAGGGGTTCAGGGAGTTTAGGGTTAGGGTGGTTAGTTACCCAAACTGCTGGGTTTTTTATGATGAGTTTGTGAGGGTTGCACCGGCTCTACATGGGGCTTTGTGCCCTTACTTAAACCCTGCTGCCTACCCAAGTATCTGCTTCGGGTCCGGGGTCGCCCCTGAATCCGAAACCCACATCCTAAGAAACTGAAGCCTCCCCTCGAAAAAGGGGTAAAGCTAGGGTTTAGGGTTTATGCACACAGCCCTAGCCTGGACCGGTGCCCTCGAACCTCTCAACACCCAATAGACCGCCGATACTGCCTAGGGTCCAATCTGCCCTAGTCTGCAGCACCCGCCTAAAGAACACACAATAATGACAATATTTATGGTAACAATATAATGACAATAGCCATAATAATCCGAACAATAACAAGAGTCATACTGTCATGCTAATAGCACTCAGTCGTTATAGTAATCTTGAGAATAACACATCCGAGAGCCCTTTGCCTCATCGCTCCCAAGACGGAAAAGCTCAGCTGCCATCGCTGCACCTGCCAACGGGTCGGGGGGAGGGGGCTCAAAGCCTCGAAGCACTCGTTTCAATCAAGAGGCCAAGTAGCAAATAAGCATACCCATAGGGCCCATAGTAGTTCCTATTGGTGGCTTATGTTTAGGATCCTATTAGGTAATCCCCAAACGGAACTGCTATGGGGCCTATGGGTATAACCCCCCCCCCCCCATCGAGGAGAACAGCTCTCTGTGTAGGTTGAAGTAGAGGTCTAAGTGCGTATGCTGTGGCTTTGCGCAGTTTCCCACTGTAGCCATCGAACCCATGAAATCGTTCTTGCACTTACCCATAGGCCAAAGAGGAATTGGTTTGTCCCAGAAAGATGCAATGAACGAGCATTTGGGGTTTAGGGTTTAGTTTTGTGTCCTTTAGGGCTTGGGGCTTAGGGCTTGCGGATGTCAGAAACCCTTCTGCGAACCTAGCAAAATGCTGTGAGGACCCCCAAAATCGCAAGCATTGTGCCAACCTAACCCTACGTAAACTGGCCCCCAGTTGGGTCCAACATAATGACATACACTGACCCGCATTTGCATAAGAACCCCAAGACCATATCCTAAGGCTTCACAAGTTGGGTACTTGGTCTTAGGGCAGCAATGCTTTGTTGCAGGCGCAATTTTTTGGAAAGAATGTGACTGCTAGACACCTGGACCCTTGAGGTTACATGCGAAACCAAGCCGCAAGCCCCACATGCCCCTAGCTTGCAAGGCAAAGCCTTGACAAACTTGATATATAGGGGCCTTAATAACTAGAATAGCATTTCGGGGTCCTTTATAGTATAGTCACAATAAGGAGCCCCCAAAATGATGTAGGTAACTATTGAGGCCCCTATATACTTAACTGAAACCCTGCGCCCTGAACCTGAAACCCAAAAGTCGGAATCCGGAACCATAAAATCCTATATCAATGCCTCTGCAAACTCTGCAAAGTATTCGTAGATAAGATCCTCGTAAGCCCCATAAGACAAAATGCGAGATAAGTCCCAAAAACCTAGCTAGCATATCCGATTTTTTCAACCTGAACCTCCCGAAAGCCCGAGAACCTCTTAAACCCCAAACCCTGAACATCTATGATCATCTAGTACGTCGGCTCTATAGGATTCCACTCATGGCCAACATTATAGCACTAGGCCCAACGCTAACAAACCTGTAGGATTTAGGGTTTAAGGGTTATAGGTTTTAGGGTTTAGGTTGCTAAATCCTGAACTCCCCAGGCCTTGAAACCCCACACCCAAGCCTCTCCGGACACTTTTAACGACCCCCCAAAGCCTAAACCCACTAAACCCTCAGCCACAAACCACCGTAACCCTTATAGAAACCCCTTTGAGGCATCCATTAAACCCTAAACCCTAAACCCTAAACAATTAAAACAAACCCTTATAGAAACCCTTAAAGGGCATCCATGTAAAAAACAACACCTTTAAGACGCAACTCTGGAGCACCTCCTCGCAGATTCGGATCTGTGCGTTGTAGCCCACCCGGTCTACCTGGGTTGCTCAGTGGCAGGACAAAGTATATCCCGATAGGATGTTGGGTCCAATCTGGGTACGACAAACCATAAATAAGGACTACTTGGACCCTTAGGGTATCTTTTTTGGGTCAGCTATACTATAAGAGTTTTGGGTCAGCTATACTATAATAGGAACCGTTTTGTTTTAAACCCTATCCTTTTTGGGCCAGCTATAGTATAATAGGAACAGGCCCGGGACCTTGAGCTATTGAACAACCCTACTGCGCCGGTCCGAAAGTTCGTCGCACTCTATGTTGTTCATTTACAACAAACCCATCCAAACCCCCTTTCCCCCCTAGACTCCTCCACAAGTCCTCCGCCCTGAACAATTATAATATTATAATTTCATTCT